TGAACCCAATTTAGGGCAGTGGCAACGTCAGCCCTTGTGAACAAATAAATGTTCTCCAGTGCTGCCTGAGCAAGCAAGAGTCATGCAGTTGTGCCCTGAAGCTGCCATCCGCGTGAGCCAGGCAGTACCTCTCCAAAACACTGCGAGGCAACCAACTGCTTCCCCACCTGAATATGAAGATGAAGAGCATGAGAAGCATGCAGAAGGTGGCTACGTTGTCCATAGTCTTCATCAGCACCACAAGCTGGCGGCGCAGTGCAGGCATGAACCGCACCAGCTTCAGCACCCGCAGGAGACGGAAAGTCCTCAGCACAGAGAGGCCCCCGTCCGCCTGGCCAATGATCTCCCAGATGCTGTGGCCCAGCACAGGGAGTGCCAGGGACAAAAAGACAGACAAATGAACGAACAAAAGAAAGAGAGAGAGAAAGAGAGAGAGGAATAACAATGCTAATCCAAGTTTTTACCTCTGCATTGGCAGCCAGTATAAAGGGGTCAGATTAAAAAAAAAATAAAAATCTGTTTGAGCAAGTTCTAATTAGAAGTGCATCTATACTGGCTTATACTTCAGTGTAGAAAGCTGCATTTCTCCCTTAAGAACACAAACATGTTGCAGGAAGGGGGAAAGGATGGCAGCATTAAATTCCAGCAAGACAAGTTCTTCTATCATGCATTAAACCTTTGTAGCACCCTTAATTTGTTAATTTTTCAAATTATTCACAGCTAATATTTGCTATGCTTTTCCAAGGCTATTGCAATTTCCTCCATTCTACAAGGGAGAGAACTGAGGGGCAAAAATGCTGTGCTGCTTGGCTAGGGTCACGAGGTGTTGGAAACACCTGCTTTTCCAAAACCTTGGCTTTGTGCATCTGCTCAGCTCCCCCTAGTATTGCTGTCACATTTTTATTATTTTTTTTTAAAAAGGCAAATGAAAATGTGCAAGCTCTGTGGCACCCTTTTCTATCTGTATTTCAGTCAATCCCCAAGGCTCTTGTCACCTGATGATGACGATGATACTGTCAAAGATGTTGTAGGGGTTGCGGAGGTAATCGAAGAGACCAAAAGCTGCAAGTTTCAGGATCATCTCCAGGGCAAACATGCTTGTAAAGACAACATTGCTGATCTCCAAGATGTTGGTCAATTCCTCTGGCTGGAGAGAAGGCAAATTCAGAGAGTCAGAACTGTAAGAGCCCTGAAATTATGGGAAATAGAATGCCAGCATTCCCAGGTGACAAGCTTTATAGGGAGCTGTGAAGCTCCCATGAGTGAGATTAGAGTGGAGCTGGATGGAACCACTTGCACTCCAATTCCTTTGCAGATTTACTGCCTTCATCACACATTATGTCCTAGCAAATACTTTTATTAGAGGGAGTCAGTGGCCTTACTGCCATTCATACAGCCAAGGCTGACCAAGTATCTCCCATATCCCACTCCCTACCCTGGTCTCCCAGCTAAAAGCAGCTTTACTTTGTGCAGAGAACTTGAGTATTTTTTGAAGCAGGGCAAAAGAGGTTTATCTGTGGTTAACCTCTTTCTTCTAGGATTTCTTTCTCTGAGGTATCCACAGGTAGCTGGACAAATTTTTTGCTGAAATTCTGAAAACATTTGAATGACAGCAAACCAGTTCCCCATCATCCTCTTAGCCACACTGCGCTTTTCTCCGCCTTTCCCCTCTGTTTCTTCCAGTCCCCATTTTTCTCTCCCCCACTCCCCACCTAATCCTTGACATGCATCAGTTTTCCAGTCTTGCTCCAGCAGTCTTTTCTCATCCCTCTGTCCTCAGAGAGGTCTCAATAATTACCCAACTGAATGTCAGACTGGATGAATAAGACAACAGCATTGAGGGGCACACTGCTAACACCTACCTGTAAGGAACAGCAGGACAAGATGAGGAAAAGAGAAATGTGGACAGCAAGAGGAGAAAGGCAGATGCATAAGGTGAAAACTTCCACGAGTGACACAAGATGACTGTGTTGAAAGAATGAAAAAAAAAAAAAAAAGGCAATCTGACCCTGCCTAAGGTGTATTTCTTTTTTTTTTTTCTGTTGAATCTCTGACACATCTTTTAGCCCCAGTGACACAGCTTTCTCCAGCAGAAACCAATGTGTTTGTGCATATGAGAGAAAGTGTTTTAATGATTCCATCAGTGGAACAAGTCTGAGTGTCCTGGTTTGAGCCAGGATGAAGCCAATTTTTCTTTTTACTGATTTTTTTTTCCTTCAGTAAGCTTTCTTGTAACTAGCAACAGTGTGTTCTGCTAGGCTGATAAGACAGTGGAATGTTTTTCTAACTACTGAGGCTTCAAGGCCGCACCTGCACTCTGCCGGCTCAGACACTATGGGGAGATCTGTGACCCCCCCGTAGGAGGCTGAGTTAGACAGACAGCAAAATTGGCCAAAGATATTCCATTCCATATATCTACGTAAGCTCAAAGGAAGGTCAGAGATCGCAGAAGACAGCTTCCTTCCTTCTTCTTCTTCCCTTCTCTTCCGTCCATGGCCGGCATCCGGGGAGGACTCTGTTCATCCATCATCGTCGACCCTTAGGCTTGAGATCTCCTGACCCCCATAACTCTCTCTCTCCAGCAGCAGCTCCGGGATTCCTCAGGACTCTTCCCAGTTCAGGGAAGTGCTGTGGGAGTTGCTGGGGTGGGGGGAGGCGAGACGTTTTTTTGCCCATACCTGAATATATCTGTATATAATTGTATATATTTTCTTGTATTATTCATTAGTGTTTTAATTAAAGCTGTGTAGTTTAGTTTTCAATCCAGCCAAGTCTCTCTCTTTTTCTCTCTCTCCTTCCCTACCTGGGTGGGAGGGGGAGGGGATCGAGAGCATTGTTGTCGGACCTGAGTCAAACGGTGACACTGAGCAAATTAAATTACATTTCCTTTTGTTTTCTGAATTAATGACTTTTTCTTCAGTGTGTGCAGCCTTGGAAACTTCTCTGACAAGGTCAGGAAAGGGACTAGACTGTTTCCTCAGGAATGATCAAATATTTCTTCAGAGGGAGACAGAGGCTGTGTTGATGTCATTGATGAGGGATGCCAGGATCTTGCAATCCCCTGTGAAATGGAGGCATTACCTGCACTGAATTTGGGAAGGACTCATCTGCTTAAAGCACCTCTCACCAAGGGACTAGGACTGCAACCGACCTAGCAGCAAGGGTGTAGCATGGCTACCACCTGGCTGTAGCATGCTGCTTGCCATCACATTCCCAATCAGCAACTGGTGGGGACCTGCTCCAGGTGAAGATGTGCCACCTGCCCAAGTGAAGGGACAAGGCACAACAGCTCCAGGACACTTCTTCGAGGCTCTTCTGGCCCAAATTTCCATGTTTACCTTGTGGCAGGTATGTCCTACTTCAGACAAGGTTACATATTTTATGTTTAACCTAGTGTGCCACTGAGCCCCAGCTCCAACCTTTCTAGGTGAGTCTGACCCAGGCTCTGGTAGCAGGCAGTGCTGCTCTCCATGTTTGGACACTCATGTTGAAAAGATGGCTGAAGACTCCCCTCTTCCTTCACATTGCTCTGAGCTGTGCCTGACCACAAGGCCACTATTTTAAGCATCACATAAAGTGGATGGGGACAAGAATACTGCAAAAGTCTGTTGTTCAGGGCAAGAGGACAGACACTCCTGGCACTGTGAAAACAAAACAGTGAGTCCCTGTAGGTCAGAGCAAATACTTTCACCATGAACTCAACATTAGTGTCTACTAGGAAGGGGACTCATGGTCTCTCCCCCTGGACTACAAAATTGCTGTTTTTCTGAAGCTTTGTATTGGCTGTGCCTGTTACTTATTCAGCTGGTGGAAGGGGAAAGAATGTAGTTCTGGGTCTGACGCTCCCCTGAAGCTGTGGGCTGCTTTAACCCCTGCTCTGGGAGACCTAAGGGCCCAGATCCTCCCAGGTGAGCAGATGGGCTGAAAAGTGCTTCTCACACCTGCAGCTTCCTTCACCCTTTGCTAATTTCTTACATTCCTTGTTGCAGCTTTTTACTGTAATACTCAATTTTTTTACAATCAGAAAAGGGGAGATAGCTCAATTTCCATCCATAATTACATTTCAACAACAAAACCATCCAGAAAATGAGGGGAAAAGAAGGGGAGATAAGAGAGAAGAAAGAGAAAGAATGAACAAGTGGACATGGGAAGGTAAAGATGAAGATCATCACTTCATGGAGAGCCAGGCAATAATAACACTTGCAGGGAGCATGAGGTCCATATGCTAAACAGAGATGCCAATTTCAGCCTGAATCAAATTATTATGTCAGTGAGAAAAAGGAATGTGAAGAAGAGACAAGCTATGATGCTGGATTATCCTCCTCTCTGCTGTCCACATGCTCTCTCTTGTGCTGTCATAGGCAGCAATTGATGTCTGAAAAGCTGTGCCTGTATCTCAGTTTTGGAAAAGGTCACCTGTTCCCCAGTCTCTCCTTCCCTCCCTGACATCTGTTTCTCTAGTCAAGCCTCCACCTGTTAATCTTTTTCTAATGGCCCATCAATCAGCCCCAGCAAAGTATCCTTCCTAGAGAGAAGTAGGAAAGACTGGGCAAGGAAAGGAAAGAGAGATGAGCAGAGAGAAAGGCAGTGAAAGAGAAATCAAGGAAAAAAAAGCTGAAAAAAAAAAGCAATTTAAAGTAAAATAAAGAAGAAGTAGAGAAGGAGAGATTTTTAAAAATGGAGTAGGAAAAAAGGCTGGGGAGGGAAGAGCAACACAAAGGAATAAAGTCAGGGGGAAAAAAAAAATAATGAAAAACTGAGAGAAGCAAGTCAGAGGGAATCACTCACTGGCTAAAGGCAGATCCTGCATCACAGCCATTTCTGGGGATACAGATAATTCAGCAGAGTGCAAAGAGTCATCAGCTGGGAGTGGAGCTGCAGAGTGGAGGGGGGGGGGGCTGTGTCCTGTGTGGGGATGCCCTCGCATCTGGGGCAGTGTGGCCATGAGTGACAGTGGACAGTGCTGATGGCTAGGACAAGACTAGTGGGGAAGGGACTCTCTCTGGCCAGGGTAGTGTGAACTTTATGAAGGGGGCAAGCAAACAGGAAAAAATGTTGTTCTCTCCTTTTCTTCCTATTGACACACAGGACCCCCAACATAATGGACGTGTTACCTCACAGTTGTGAGAGCTCCCACAGGCAACTCTCAGGCATTTATCATCAAAACCATTAGCAAGATTTTCTCCTCCCAGGCCACCCAGTTTTACCCAGAAACTGTAAACTGGAGTGTCCACAAGGAAAGGCCTGAACTCAAGGCTGTTTTAGTCCAACCACAACCCAGGAACACCAGAAATCTCCCCAGAAGTGGTCTGCTCATACTGCCAAGCCAGGACAGACTGATTTATCCATCACATCAGGACAGAAACTTGAACAAAGCTGTGGAAGCTGAGTATTGGGGTGAGAAGCATGGCTTGCAGGGGAGAAAGATCCCAGGGGGCAATGCATGCCCAGAGCCAGAATTTTAACCAGACTGGTTCACCTTCTCTGCATACGGCTCTCTTTCTAAATGCATGAAACTACCTAATTCACACCTTCATGGCACAAAGTCCTTAATTCCTAACAGCACAGGTCAAATACTAAGACTGAAACGTACAATTCAGATCTACTTCAGAGTTCTTGCCTTGTGATGAGAAACTACAGTGGGGTAACAGAGGGCAGTGGCTCAGCTTTTTTCCCATTTTCAGTTTCTTACTAACATTGGAGTTCTTATGTCAGATTAGACTGAAAACATAATTAGTCCAGTATCTGACAGCAGCCAGAAATTCTTGCACTACAGACAAGGTTAAGAATAAGCAGACCACCAAGCTCCTGCAGAAGTTTCTCCTCAACAGGAGTAAATGTGCAGCTGTCTAGAAACTGAAAAGTAGTTTATGTCATCTACGCAGAGCAGCCCTACCAAAACATACCTGCACATCACTACCTCTGAGAACATGAGAGAAATATTCCATAGAGAGGTTTCTCCAGCCTGTCCATTTTTACTCACCATTTTGAAGTTGCTTGACAATAGTCAAGAGTCATAGAAATCAGCCATGGGACATATCAGCCAGCTTTGGCTTACACTAATCACCACCTCACAAGCAATGCAGGATTTCCTGATGTTTTGTTATATTCTAGTTTTGCAAGACCGAAGTAACGTGTTTTCATCTACCACCCCAGGGAGACTGTTCCATCATTTACTAAATGTCAGTATGATGAGCTGGCTTGGACATTTCCTGAATGTCTCTGGCAAGCAGCAAATAGTAAAAAGAGAAGCAATAACTGTAAAATATGAACTTGTGGATGCAATAAATGCTGGTATAAAGGGAAATCACACAGACTAAGGGATATAAAGGTACTGATCCACAGGGCTGGTGTAGTTAGGAAACAAGAGATCATCTCTTGATCCACACAAGGCAGACCTCATAAAGTATTGATGTGATGTGCCACGGAATACTGTAAACAGATACTAGAGAAGAAGTTACTCAGCAATTGTCTTATTGGCTGCTAATGGGAAAGAAGCTTGAGTCCAACAGGCCATTTGAGAAATCTATGAGAAAGACAGCCTGGGACACTCAATTGGGAGCAGCTTTTCAACCTCATGCTGAATAAGAGAGAAAAGGAAGAAGCACCAGATTCTCTGTGAGTATTAAAACATTAAGCCTCTTAAAAGGATCCTTCTGGATAGTCACAAGCATCTAATATCTTCATTTTCTACACTGGATTTTAAAAATAGGCACTTCCAAGTAGAAGCAAATCTGAAGAACTGCAAAAACTATTTCAAGCAGGACAAAGCTTGCTATGGTGGATTTTGGCTTGTGCAATGTCACAGCAATATCTGAAGGCCTAATACTGAGGCTATTACATGGTATAATGCACACTGATGGATTTGAATAAACTTATCTATTTACAAGTGATAACCTGTGATAAGCTTAGGGATTAAAAATGACTCATAGCAGTGCAGATCATATAGGGATGTATAAGCAGGTGGGAAGCTATCTTGGTCATACAAAATAGGACAGGACAAGGGACACAGGACAAGCTACACAAAGCTGAATTCCAAGGTGATTTGGATCTGAGTAAAGTAGTTTGAGTTGTAAGGTTAAGTAAAAAAAAAATAATTAAAAAAAAATTGTAAATATCAAACCCCAAATTGTAACAAACAAGTAACTTTGATTCATGTTTTCCTTTCTGTTGGTCAAGGCTCAGGACTGGAAAGTGAGACTCGCACACGGGCTCTGTCCCCCAGGTTCCTGTGTTTCTGAGCCTGAACCTTGTGCATGGCTCCTGCAGCCTCTCTCACCCTTTAACCTGATGACTGCTGGGTCCTTTGGTCAGAGAGCCAACTGACATGTTTATAGTCCATGAAAAAGTGAAGCAGCAAGGAGCTGATGGACGTGCCATGAGCTGCTCAAACCTGTGACACCTTCACACATTACAGACAGACACATCCCCAGAGAGTGTCTGGGGTTGTGATCTCCTATGCACCAGAAAAGAAAAGCTCAAGAGGTCCCTATATACATTAGCTGTGGGCCAGGAGACATTCATACGAGGAAGCAGCTGAAGGAACAGAAGCTATTTCAGTCATGGGATGGCGTCACCCTGCAAATCATAGATCACTGTGGACAGGGGGGGTTTGCTGGGTATCATTCACTGCAAATTTATGTTTCTGGGGGGAAAACAACAGGAGAAAGGGAAAGGAAGGAGAGAAAAGGAGGTGATGAAGAAGCAGTCTGAGATAGACTGATTCCATGGCTTGAGGAAAACTGAAAGGGAGCAAAGGGAAGTGCAAATGCCTGGGTGCTTTTGAGTTAACTGCTGACTGAAATGGACCTGGAATTCATGGTATGGTCTGAATATTTTAAGTTTTTAAAATCTTCTTGTGCCAGAGAAACAAGATTCAGCAAATATATTTTAAACAGGCTGCACTACATTTTTCAGTTACAATCAATTCTGCTGACATGTCTTTCCAGTAGACACAGCATGCAGGGTCATAAGCTTTTCCTAGCTACTTATAGATAAAAAGTGATAGCATAACTTTAAGGATGTGTCATTAATAGCCTGCTACTAGAAACCCTGAGGCTGCAGGCACATCCCACTCTGCTGTGGGCTGTACAAACACAGCAGAGGCGGTCTAGAAGGGCTTAAATCTGCTCACACAATAGCCAGAACATGAGAGTGAATTCTCTACCTCCAGCTCTAATATTCTTCTGTTAAACTCTTAATTCACACTGTCTCCAATGAACTAAAATGAACAATAGCTCTCCATGCTTGATGCTCACATCTTTAAAACATCAGTGGGCAGTTTTCGTATTGTCCTGGGTTTCAGCCCTTAGTCATCTCTCTGGTACGTGATAAATACATCGCTCTTTTTTATCTGGTTTCATGAGTCAACCCTTCCAGCCTCTTCTTCATTCTCCTCTCCTCTGAGCTTCAGCCAGTATTTTTCTGGTACCAAACTATCCAGTGCAGTTTCGCACTCTGGGATCAAATTAAGTCTACCCATCTTCATATCAGAAACTATCTGGGCTTTGAAAAATGGTCTAATGCTTGGTATGTGGGTGGGATGCAGACATTTGAGGCTTCAAATACTGTCTAAGACACTGTTCTGCCTTAATCACGAATTTAAGATACCTTGAGTCTCAAGATATCTCCATGCAGATACAGCGCAGGACAAACTTGAATGCCTTGCATGCACCAGACTCACAGTCTGTCCCTTTGCTGCCTGAGACTGTGCTCAGGACTAGATTTCACCTTGGCTCCAAAGCTTCAACACAGGCAGCATTTCAGTAGTGGAGTGATCTCTTATTTTTGTGATCTGGGCAAACACATGGAGTGAATGATGGTCACATTCAGACTGGTGGCAGAGGTCTGAGACATGGATGTACAGCATGGACTCGTTTAACATGAAGTGCAGCAGAGCTGCCAGACAGCAGTGCAGATTCAAGTAATGGGGTTTTTAACACCTTCTGAAGCTGGTTCTGCACATCACAAAGTAGACACAGCCCCTTTCACAGCTATAAAATGAGGGCACCCAATCCTTCTCCATCTCACAGGTCTGTCATTAGGATAAAGTGCACTGCTGATTCAGAGCTGCCTGCTAATTGTTGGCATGAAAGTCAAATCTGTGCCCAGTAATGCTGGGCTGGTCTGACCTGTCTATCACTTGTTGTCAGGGCTAATAAAAGGCTCAAGCCATCTGAGCCCCCAGAATGCCTGGAGATGGGAGGTGGTATTTTTCCTAGCCTTCTTGTGTAGGTAGACTGTGCTCAGGCATCTCTTAATTAAGCTGAAAAAGAAAGCTGATGGATTTGAATTGAGATGCTGGTGAAGTGCCTGTGACATCCCCAGAGGGCACATTAAATTAACCAAACAGACTAAGGATTCAGTAAACTAATGAAGAGAGAAATGAGAGAGAGAGAGATGAGGAAGATGGAAGAGATGAAGGTGAAGGAAAGAGAAGCAGATGAAGTAGAAGACAGGGTAAAAACCAAAACCAAACCAAAAAAAAACAACAACAACAAAAAAAATCAACACTAAAAACAGAAGGATGAAAGTGAGCAGGGAGGAAAAGAGGGATTGAAAGGAGGTGAGAAGAAAATAAATGAAAGCAGTGAAAGTGATTAAGCGCAGGGATAAGGAAGAGAAGAATCTGCAAGATCCTGAGGCTTTCTCCAAAGCTGTGCTGGGATCAACCGTGATGCAGCCTTGGGTCCAAATTGCTCAATCTCTGCCTCCACCAAGTTTCATCAGCTGTTTATCAAGGCTGTAACCCTGAGCAGGGTTCACCAGTCCCCACTGCCCACCCTATGCCATGAAGTGCCTTACCTGCTCATGGTGCTCGATGCCCATGCTGATAGTGTTCACTAGGATTGCAATCATGATCCCACGATTGAAGTATTTGCTGTCCACAATCCCTCGAAGCTTGACCCTCACTTCTCGCCACATATCACTGCAGAGCTTCAGCCGTCCACCTTCTTCCACCTCCTCCTCCTCCTTCTCCAGTGCTGAGGCATCCTGGTCCTCTCTGCTGTCCTCTCCCTCCTCTTCACTGGTTCCTCCATCCACCTGGTCTGAGTCAGCACTACCCAGGACAGAGAGCCTTCGGGATGGTTCTTGCTCCCCACTACGGCATCGGGGGCAGTTGGTGGGATCAGAGGTTGCTGTCATAGCAATGGGCTGGACTAAGCCCTGAGAAGGGCAGTTAAGAGAGTTGTGCTGCTGGCAAAGCCCTGGGGAGAGAAATGAGCATGCTCAAAGGAGAAGGCTTTGAAAAAGACATTGAAACTGGGCAGCTGTTTGGCTTCCAGGTTCTTAGACAGGACAGCTGGGCTTTTTAGCTGTAAGGATCGTTAAACACTAGCACATCATCTCAAGGGCAGCAACAAAAGCTGTTGCCATTGAGGGCTTTACACTGACAGACTGGCTGGGTCACCAAAAGGCATAGTGCTGTTCAACTGCCAGTGATTAGGCTCAATGGGGGCTCACGTCCATCAGAGGAAGAACTGTTTTGTCTGATGCAGGAGTAACAGCTTGAGACTCAGAAGCTTGTGTTAAGTGGGAACCAGGGGAAAAACAATTGCAAGGGCTGCTTTTGGCCTGAACTGCTACAGGTGGAGTCCAGGAAAACACATGCTGAGCTGAGCTCTCTAAATTAGGGATGCTACTTCAGCAAAGCATCTCAAGAAGCCACAAAAAGTAGTGTAAGAACAGTTCCTTCTGATAGTCTGTGTGCTCTGAAGCAGAACTGGAAGATCAAATGGACACTGGGGGAATGAAGCAATTAATTCATTAACACAGTGCGTGAAGCCTGCGGAAACTTTTCTCCCAGCAAGTAGAGAAAAAGAAAGACTAAGCATGCAACACCAGCTGAAGGAAAATTTGATTTTTGCTTGTTAATGGAAGTATAACTTAGGAAAGGCATTAGCAGGTAGTTAACACTAACTCTATAAAACCATTTTTACAGTCACTTTTCAGGCCAGGAATCAAAGTTAATTGGCCATCCATAAAAACTGGCATCCACTGCCCTTCCATATCAAACTGACTTCTTCATTATTGCTCCCTTGGTTCAGGAGACACCCTGTTACAATTCTAGTCCCTTTCCCTCTCTCTTGAAGTCTCACAGTAACTCAGTTTGGGAGGAGACTTTTGGGGGACTTGCTATATCAATGAGTTCAATCCTTAGTGCCACTCCATCACATGCCCCTAATACTTCTTTCTCCCAAATGGCTATCAGCACCCTGCTATACCACACCTGGAGATCTTTACCATCTTCAGCCAGTGCCTTTAATATTATCCCAGTACGGTCTCTGGGTTTCAGACACAGGTTTCTCATGTTCCTTGCTGGTCACCCCTGTTTGTCCTGGTTTGAGGCAGGATCTAGCCAATTTTGTTTTTACTGATAAATTTATTTTTTTTTCCCCTTCAGTGAACTTTCTTTTAATGCCAAAATGTTTATAATTACTGCTGAGAGACCAAGGACACTCTGCTCTGCTTGTCAGATCTGATGCTTCAGATGCTAAAGGAACAGAAGAGTCGTATCTACAACCCTCCTGTAGGGAGGAGTGGACTAGACAGATGGCAAATTGGCCAAATAAATTACTCAATCCCATATATACGTCACTCTTGGTATAAATTCAGGGATCACGGATGTCAAGCCCCTTTTCCTTCCTCTTCCTTTCATAGCTGGCATCCAGGAAGGACTCTGTGTACTCATCTCCTTTGAACCCCAGGCCCATGTGTTCCTGACCCCTGTACATCTGCCCTCAGCTCCTCTCAGTCTTGTCATTATCTCAGGAAGTGGTTCAGGACTTTTTCAGGACTGTTCCATCTCAGGAGAATATACTGGGAGTTGCTGGGGGTGGGAGGAGGTGATAGGAGTTTTGCACATTCCTGAACATATTTGTATATATTTATACATATTTTTATTTAACAATAGTATTTAATTAAACTTATTTAATTTAGTTTTCAATCCAGAAGCCTCTCTCCTAAATCTCTTTCCTTTCCCAATCTGAGTGGGAGAAGGAGAGGATAGAGAGCATTGTTGCTGTTTGATGGCTGATCCCGAGTCAAACCATGATATTCCCATTCTTGCTGGTCATCCCCACCTTGTTGGCCTGGTGGTGTTGGCCACGGCCCCACGCTCAATGGCCAAGGTTAATTCTAATTCAGTGCCTTGTAGGCACGGGTCCTTTGACAAGCTGGCACATGGAGATGCTCCCAGTTACTCTCCCATTTCCACCTTTACCCAAGCAATCCTTACTGTCACGCCTCTGGCTCTTCTGGCTCGCGCCTCGCCCGGCATCGCTCGGCCCTGCGTGGCCCTGGCGCCGGCTCTGTATGCTGTTGTACAGCCCGAGGGTGCGGCGCTTGGCTTTGCGCAGGATGTGGCAGACGTATTGGAAGATCTCCTCATAGCAGTCTCCTGGCTCCATGTAGCTGGCAACAGTGCTGGAGGAGAGGTACCGAGCCCGCTGCTCCTGCATCAGCTGGTGCTCCCGCTGCTTGGTCTCTGAGAACTGTGTGGCGATGACCACCAGGCACAGGTTAATCATGAAGAAGGAGCCCACCTAGTAGCAAAGAAGAAGAAGGGGCAGTCAGTGTCTGCACGAGGAAGAACATGTGGGAGGGAGAAGGTAAGAGAGGAGAGGAGGGGAGAGGGAGAGGAGAGGGACTTGGAGGCAGCCAGAGGAACCGGAACCAGTCTCCACACAGAGATGGGATTTCAGAGAAAGCCAGGGTTGGCTGAGCTTGTTTTTGAGATCTCACTTGATGTAATGTCCATGCAGGATTCTGAGCTCTGAACTGAAATTCAGGAAACACAAGCCTGCTTTTTGGCAGGCTTTGGGACATTTAGCAAGTAATTTAGAAGTTACCTGCAAAGGGTTTGATGAAAACTGGACTTTTTCTTTTCCCCTCCTTTGTGTTAAACAGAACATGGGAGATAGGGGACTAGTTTGGTAGTTCTGTTATTTTCCCCTTTGCTTGCCCTTTTACTACTGCAAAAATCATACTCTGTCATTTATGGTCTACAACACTTGAAGGAGGACATGTCAGTATTCTCAGAACACTGAATTTATTTCTACCATTTAGACCTTAATTCACCCTACAGGGAGATGGCAGTTCACTGAAATGAATGAGCTCTTCAAATCAAAGAGGAATTTACAAAAACTAATGACTTTGAGAGGGACACCAAATACTGTCTGGCAAAAAGTCCTCCCTTGATAAATTTCTATTCTTCTGATCCTTCTGATACATTATATTGACACATTACATTAACCCTTACTTTATTTGTCCTCTGGCCTAGGTAGGCTTTCCATTTCAAATGCAAAAAGAACCACAACCCACTCCACCAACTTCTTAGAAACAAAACAAAATGCCCAAGTTCTTCCTATTCTCTACACAGAACCCAAAATTATTCTCCATACAGAAGCCAAAAAGTCTACCAGGCTTATTTTACATCTTGAAGATTCCTTTCCCTCAGCTTTCCTATCTGTAAAATGGAGCAAATATTTCCTGGTGCTGAGAGATCTGGAGGTAAAAATCTCACTGTCAGTGTCATATATTGTGAAATTACAGATGAATCGCCAGTAGGAGAGCTATCCATTACACTTAGGATAAAACCTGGGCTTCAATATGAGGAGAATTTCATACATAAAAGGGCTGGTAACAACGTTCAAAATAATTCTCAAAAGCTGTGAGGCCTTGATTGTTGCCTACTCCCTGTAGAGCTGTAAGTGGCAATAGAGCACTGATAAAATGCAGAGTCTGATCTCTGATCAAGGATCATACATCTGTGCTGCTCTGAAATGGACTCCGTGGGGCAGCCCTCGGGAGGAGAGGAACCACCAGCTCAAGATTTCTTCTTCCCCTGAACCAGGGAGCAACCCTGTGAAGGGACATCCTCGTACTCTGTTCGTCCTGTACAAACCCACACAGAACCCAATCTCACCTCCCTGTCTCTCCTTTCCAAGCATACAGCTTTGACACAGAGCTGGATCCAGTCCTTCTCCTGTCCTCACACATGTATCCTCCCCCATATAACCTTCCAAGCAAAGGGGAAAGGGCAAGCAAAGGTGGCAACAACCAAACCCCAATCCCTCTGCACGGAAAACATTGAGTTTTTTTCAGCATGTACCCCAACTTGTTTTTTCTACCCAAGCAGCCTTCCCCTTAGTACACTGCCCCTGCCACTCCCCCACCAGCTTGCTCCCTTGGTTGTCCCCTTCTCTTGCACACAGATGCCCAGCAGCTCTGTCTGGAGGCTGAGTCTGTCTGGAGTACAGTATATCTCAGTATTTCAAAGGGGAGGTGTCCCTGATAGCATTTGAAAAAGCCTTTGAAATATGAAGCCCTTCCCAACTGTATTTAGCATAAGGACAATAAATCATCTCAAAATAAAGGGGTTTTATTTTTTTTTCTCCTCCTCTCAGCACCCTTCAAAGCTGTTCTAATTCTGTTTCTCTTCATCACTGAACCCTTCTTTTCCCTCTCCTCCCACCTATTTTCATCCTATTTTCCCTTCAGCTTCTGTATGTGGCCTTGAAAATTAAATTGATGCCTCGTTCAGATTCCTTTGCGTTCCCTCAAGATTTCCCCTAGCCCATGATGTCTTGCCTGCTTTCACTGATGAAAATATGACTGGGAATCCAAATTCTTCTCCAATGCACTCTCCTGCCTCCTTCCCCCTCAGCACCACATGCCACTCAGGCAGGTTTGTCCATTCAGCTATTTCCCTCAGCTTGCCCTAAGTGAAGCAGGGCTGGAAGCTGGACACCAGCTGTGGGTGCATTTCTGGAATCCTAATTGTGACACTGCCTGGTAGTCTTCAATTTCCAACAAGCCCATAAAGAGTAAACTATTAAGACTTGCAACACCTTCCCTCTAGGTTACAAGCAGGATCACACTGTGAGTCTGGGGTTGAATCCATAGGGGAGTTTAGGTTTCACATAACAAAGCCATGTCCCCACAAGCATTGTTTGCTGTGATGTCCCATCAGGTGACCAAAAAGGGGAGGAGTGAGAGGACTGAACATGGTTACTAGCTGCCAAGCCTTAAACCTCCAACCTATGAACGCTAAAGGCAAAACAAATGAGCTTTTTTAATCCAGAAGATGACAGACAAGTCCATAAACTCTACGGCTCTGCCAAGCTTGACACTTTCTCCCAGCTAGCAGAAGGACAGAAAGGGTCCCAGATGGCTCATAATCGAGCAATCCATTGCCGCAAGCTGAGCAGAGAGACCAAAAGTGTCTGGCATGGAGTCAGACAAAGCATCTGACAGAGGCAGAAGGAGATTGTTGATCAAAAGCACCCCAACACATTCAGCCCTGAGACTGAGCTGTACTTTGATTAAGCAAATTCTGGCCTTGTTCAGCCCAAGGTTCAATTCCTGTCTCTGCAATATCTAATAAAATCTGGTAGTGCTGGACATGCTGACTTACTTGCCCATTTTTTTATTGTTTATGCCTGGATATCCAGCTTGTCTTCTGAAGCCCACGTACGTAAGCCCAGAGCACTTCAAGGATACCACTGAATGCTGCAATGTGTATGCCAGCATGAGAGTTCAGAAGAGCTTTCTCTAGTCCAGGAGCCACACAAGTGGCCAAGTAGCTGGAGAGGTGAAGGAAGAAACAGGTGGACCTCAAGCAGGAAGATTCAAATGAGACACTGACCCAAGAGGTGAAAACAATCTTTCCTTCACATCACCTCCCTGAACTCTGGAAGACGGGGAAGCTATTTACAATTTTCTGAATACATAAAATGCTTTTACTAGGTTGTTCTGCAAGGCCAGTCTGAGTGCCAGGGTCAGCCAGCACTCTTCCCCTCTGCAGACGCCATCTATGCAGGAGTCCTAACCATAGGAATATATCCAGGTGGTGGAGCCTTCTTCCTGCTGGATGAGCAGGAACAGGTAATGCCCTTTTAAAGGTGTTTGAAAATATCTCTGTGAGGGAAGGAGAAGGCATGGATGAAAGCATAGCACTAGAGAAGAGGCTGCAAAGATCCAGCCCCAGAAGAGTACGTTTGAGCCAAGGCTAGGATGTATGTGGAAAAGCAGAGAGTCAGGGCTTGAAGTATGATTGTCAAAGCAATCCTGCTTAGAAACCCAGGTCTTTCAACCATGGAGAAGGGGGGAAGGATAAAGACTGGAAAGACTTGAAGAGGGATCACCATTTCTGTAAGAAGACGCAGCAGGACAACAAAACCAAGAGATAGCAAGTTCACGCTGTGGTGTTGCTATGTGCTGCAAAAGTTGCATTACACATGCACAGAAGGTAATAGAAATGTTAGGTACTTTTTTGGTGTAACTCCATCAATGGCAAAAGAATTATCTCATCTAGCTCCTTTGTTCTGAGCAGTCCCCAGAGTAAGCTGAGCTCCATGTGCTCCTGTGTTATATGGAAATAAACCTACAGGGCTTTGGCAAATGAGGAGGGAGTGCCAAGAAATGTCAGTGACACTACTGTAAAATCTCAGGTGGAGTGTTTAATTGAGGGTCTTCAACAACTGCAAATTCAGAGACATATTTGAGTGACTGGGAATCCACATGAGCTGAGCCAGCACTAGAAGGATGCTCCTGTTTAGAAGCAAAAAATATACTGACAGAATCTATGTAGTTCGGAGCAGGGGGTGAGGGGTAGTTTTTGGAAATGGTCATCAGTAGACAGGCATGCCCACCCCACTGGTTAGACACTGTCTCTGCACAGCCCTTCCTGGCTATGGGAGAGATTAAGTCTGAGACAAGGAGTAAATTCTGTGCACACTGTACAAATCTGGGCACCCTTACCATGCTGCTGAAAGTGGAAATGCAAGTAGCTACTGAGTATCTACTACATGGTAGGAGATCTGAACAAACTCTACAAATTCTATGGGAAATAATTGCTTTCTGAACTCACAAAAAGTGGTGGATATTCAGTTTGTCTTTGAGAACAGAGGTGGTGGGGAATTCTTCTCCTATCCTATGCAATCATACCTCTGCAACCATCTCTCCTTGGGACTCTCCAGCCTCAAAATAAAAGCAGCATTCCTTGAGGTGAATTTCACCTCTGCTGTCCTGGCTCATGCTTCAGCCCACAGGGCTCCTTGTCTTTCCCTTGTGAAGGCAGAAGGCAGGGAGAAATCAAGGGTATCACAGAGATTCTGCATTTTTTTAAGTTCTCTGACCTGAACGGACCAGTAGATATTTTTGTGCCATTCCCTTATATGTACAGGCTGCAATAATTCTCCCAGAAACTGGATTAAGGTTTGTTTGCTCTCAAATCACTGCATATCAATTTGAATTTAAACTATATCCTGTGTCAGGTGAGTCTATTAATGCTACTGGGTGACTGCTTCTAGAGATGCTATTTCTAGGAGGGCAAGGCCAAATAGGACAAGAAGTAGATGGAGAGCAGAGTCTTAGCCAGGTCCATTCAGCAGCCCATCTAAATGCATGTAGGCCTTGGAAAAACCCATGGAGGTCCTTACTGGCTAAGCAACCTAGAACTGAAGTGCCCCTACTGTGTACAGATTTTATACTTCCCATAATCCATTCCATGTCTTTCCCTTCTACTCAGCCTTGGTCCCCCTGTAGAAAAAGTGCAAGAGAATTCATAAAAACAAAATCCTTCCTTGTTAGAAAGGATATTCCCTCCAAGAAAACGCATTTATGTGTGGGAGGCTTGAGGAATGGAAGAGGCAACGGCATCACGTTTCTCACCTGTCTTTCCAGACACTGACTACAAATGTCCTTACAGCAAAGTAACCTTGAAACTTCACTTGTATGAATCTATGGGGCTTATAAACTGCTTATTAAGTTCTCATCACGGACACACTTCTCTCTTTCCATCCCCAACAGCCACAATTGATCTTACACAGACAGTTTATGTTGGACTGCTGACACTTTCAGAGCAGCAGCTCCTTTTTGTTCACGGTGAGGAAGTAATTCAGGGTGACAGACCCTGAATCTGACAAAATCTGAGACCCTGAATCTGCGAAATTCAGGTGCTGCCAAAAGCCATAAAGCATGGCTCAAGAATTACTTGAAAGCTTAAAATGTATAAAGAGACTGAGTAGGAGGGCAGAAGGAGAAATGGTTTTCTGTACTTTTGAGCCTACTGGTTTGGGGAATTTACTTGGAGAGATCTGCAGATGGGAACATTATCTTGCACTCCATTGTGCATAGGGTTACGTATATCTCTAGGAACCAATCCTGAGCATAGTTTTTGAGTGAAAGAGAATAACTAGGTTGACAATCATGCCATCCTGTCAATGACTCTTGATGAAAGTCAACCAACTGGGCTACTCAGAATCCCAGAAGAAATTCAGGGAAACTAATTTGCTTCTCTGGTATCTGTGCTGACCTAACACCTGTTTTTGTAGGCTCTTAGCTTGCGATGCTGGCAGTCATAAAGCCTTATACTTACGATTATCAGCAAGATAAAGTAGATAAAATTGTAGAAGGAATGGGCATCCATCACATAGTACATGATCTCCACCCACCCTTCCAGTGTGATCACCTGCAAAGACAAACAACAAGAGAAACAAAGGAAGCAGGCTTTCAAAGTTCACTTCTCAGTGTATACAGGCAGATACTGGCAGAGCTGTTGCAACCCAAGGTAAGTGAGAAACAATTCAAGGAGGCCAAATTTCCATTCCAGAAAATCAGCATGGTCCTACTTGGTGACACTGGCATACTGTCAAAGCCTGTGAGATCATGCTAGCTCACAGCAGGAATATTTAATTAAAATAGTTCATTTCCCTGGGTCGCAGTGGGTGAAAACCTGCAGCAGGTTTCTGTGCCCCTTGGACTGGACACTGCGTACAGCCGGTGGAAAAGAAAAAAGGCACGGATTTCAGCTCCCATCTGCAACATGTGCTGGGAATAAAAAAAATAGAATAAATAGACTTATTTGCTATAGTGATATGGATTGACGGGAAAGCTGATACAAGTCAGCCTGGAGGGTGTAGCTCATTTCAGCCAGGGCCTGAAACAGCTCTGGGTCCCTCACTGTCTTCAAGAAGACTGTGGTGTGCACTCTGTCTCTCCTGCCAGAGTAGTTACCAGGCCCTTTTCTCTCTGCAGCTGCCTCACACCCTGCAGAAACCTTCATGGGAGCACAGAAAGATTGAGTTGGAAAAAAAGAAAAAAATAGCTCGAGCCTTGTTGGGAGGCTAACGTGGTCTTACCTGAAATATCACAATCCAGGCATACCCGATGTTGTCAAAGTTGATGGCACCCTTGTGTGGGTTGGCATTGCCTGTACGGCACACGTTGTAGTACTGGTTCCAGTTGACACACATGCCACTGATGTTGAACTCTTGCCGGACTGAGTTGTAGTAATAGTAATCATCCTTGTCCAAACAACATTCATGGCCTCGCTCTTTCATTGGGGGTATCTCATGACAGCCCATAATTCCATTGTCTCCTGACAGTGAGCAGATGAAGGGCATCTCATCGTCTTCCTCAGGCTGGTAATAAGGGGGCAGGACAATGTCACCTTGTCTGCAAGAATAAAAAAAACACAGTTATAAAGCTGCTGTGACAGACAGTTTCTCATCAGTGACACTGGTGGAGCTGGGAGATCCCATCCTGACATAGGGATGGAACTGGGTAAGGGATTTCCAGGTTTATTGCTTCAGGAGAAGGGAATGGCAGGCAAGATTCCTGGAAAACACTAAATTTCCAGGGTGAGTCCCCATTTTTCAGAGCTTTGCCTGCTATGAGATCACTCCAAGCTAAATTACACAATTTGATTGCATGGAGATGAAGAAAAGCTGGAAAGCAGAGATCTACATTCTGATCACTCTCTCCATTAGCATCAAAGCTAAATCAGATGCAGTGATATTAAGGAAGTTCATCAGGCTTCACTGTGATGTGCTCATGTATGTAACCATTGATAGACATGTTTTATAACATTTGGCAGTGAATCTTCTATACTTCTAAAAAAAAATAATCCAGTTCATGCATAATTACAGCTGCACAGTTGTACAGCTAAGCCTTAAAATCAAGAAATGCAAAGTTAAAATTGACTTAACTTTGACTCCTCCTTGACAGTTGGCATTGTGGGTGCAATGTTTCATGGCAAGTTCACATGCTTTTATCCAAATAATGCAAGCACCTTCCAAATGCATGAATAATTAAAATAATCTATGCTTGCCTAGCTGGAGACAAGCTAATAATCAGGAGAGTGAAAGGTGGATCTGGTGCGTTCCTTGCAGTGCTACAATCCACAACTTCCAGAGTGCAGGCATGTAGACTTTTTCACTAAGTGTCATTGGAAGAGGGAGGTGTTGATGAAAAAGGAAAGAGAGAAAGTGTCTGATTCTAAACTAAGCTGCACTAAACCACAAAGATCTGTTGTAACACATCCACATCATTGGTCAACTGGGTGCCTGGAGAATTAATTTCTCTAGTAATGGACTGCTAAAGATTTTTTAGTATCTGTCACTTTGCAGGCTGTGGCCTCAATTCGCTTGGTTACATCAACTCCGAATGGATGTAATTACACTACATTAAAGCAGTACTACCCCTGATTTACATAAAGGACAATCATCCTAAACATTCATTTTCCCCCAAGGAATATATAAACACAGTAAATGGCTGCTTTAAGCAGCTCCTACTCTCCAACACTGCTGCTGTTCTGCAGATTGTATTTTCACACTTTTTTTTTTTTCCCAATTTGAGATGATCTAAAGCTTCAGAATTGTTTAATCAGTCTAAACTGATCTACATCTTTAGGGTTTTTTTAAGCAGTCTAAACTGACAGGATGTCTGGGATTAGTATATGGTTTTAAGAAGACATTTTAAAGCCTGAGATCTGCTAAAGCCAGAAAGTCAACAGGACTAGCTGTGCCCTGGAACTGGTTCTCTGCTTCCCAGGAGGGTAATCAGGCAGGAGCTCTTCCATCCCACTGCCTCTGGATAGGAGGAGAATCATGCTCTGCCAGCTCCTCCCTGACCTAATCGTCCCAGAATAAACCTCAGACACCTGTAATTGACCCCTGTGTGGCTCCAGGCTCACTCTACCAGAACTGTACCCACATTTCCCCATGTTTGGTTGTTTGTTGTTGTTTTTCTCATTCAAGCAGCTGTTTTTCACTTTCAGCTGCTCTCATAACCCAGCTGCGGGTCACCTCTCCCAACAGCCCTCTGTCACCTCACCATGGCACCTCCTGATGTTTTCCAAACATCTCCCTGTGTCCTTCCTCTGGAGATAAAGCACTACTATCAGAACTGTGACCTCAGCTCCATCTCAGAGGTGCCAAAGATGTCCCTGGAAGCATCAGGCAGCACTGTGGCTTTCTGTAATATTCCTCAGGTTGTTATTTTTGAAGAGGGAGCAAGTTCAAAAGAAAGAGGTCATGGCTGGTATTTCAGTTTCAGCTCTTTTTGGGAGTAGGAGCAGTATCTTGAATCCCTGGGCATGCCTGGAGGAGGCAGCTATGCTAACCTGTGCTTTGGCCAAATCCAAATGAGTCCACGTGGACCACAACAAAAGATTAAAATCAGCTGCCTTTGCCCTCCCTCCCTTTCCATTGTGAGGCACAGCCAATACTCTGCACACTGTCACCCTACAGCTTTTGAGGAAGTGATACACAGAGAGCCAGGCAGCAGGAGACAAGAGAGCAGGGAAGGGGAAAGAGAAGTGTCCCTGGAAGAAAGGAAGGAGACACAATCTCCCAGGCACTCACATTGTGAAATTCTCCTCCAAGAAGCAGCGGTTGCGGAGCAGCCCAGCCCACAGCTGCACTCCGATGATGCCGAAGATGAAGAAGACAAAGAAGCAGAGAAGAAGGACGTTTCCCAGCATGGGCAAGGTGTCCAGGAGCAAGTTCACAAGGATGCGCATGCCTGCAAGGAGGAGAAGAGAACCAGAAGGAGCAAGAGTGAGATGGAGGGACAGAGAAAGGGGAGAAAAGGAACAGAAGAAGAAGGAAAGGAAAGTTTAAGTGACACACAAACACCCCAAAAAAAGCCACATGAAGATAAAAGCAGTGTGTCAGAAATTAATTACTGCCCAAATCTGGCTAGACTTATGATTGTTCCACTTCCTCTACTGACAAGCAGCCGGCAGAGCTGCTGTGATGCTATGATCTCTCAATCCCAGGCCTCTGTCTGCAGCAGGAAAAGTAAAAGGTACCATCAGCTACCTCATTAATATTTCTCCTTCCCCCTTCCCTCCAGAAAGGCAATGGAATGGCAACTCTGTTCCGAACGTGCACTGCATCTCTGTGGTCCCATCCTTAGATGGGCGAGACTGAAAGTCATCCCAGTTCAAAAACTGCATGCTGCAAACTGTGAGAATTGCATCCATGGACCAAGGCCAGCCTGCCTACAGGGAGATACCTCTCCAGCACACACAACTTGGCATAAATTGGTTTTCTCAGTGACAGTATCAGCAGGGGACAGCCACAGAGACCACACTCTCCACTGTTGGCTAGTCCTCCCTCCCCAAAGGGCTGGAGCACACAAGTAGCAGACACAGCCTGAAATGCTGTTGGCACAGCACATCTGGGCAGTGCAAATGTTTCAGAAAACCTTTTTTTAATTACTTCTAATTATCTAATGAATTATTTCTGTGGTTTTACTTCTCCCCTAGCTCTTCAGCTCATGCAGCCACAAAAGCAGGGATAAAGATAGGCTCACTTCTCCAGGAAGCTGGTGACTTTTCCTCCAGGGATGGCAAAAGTCTTAAAAACCTTCTGTGCATTACTATACCACCTTTACCCCTGCACAGACCTCAAGCAGTCATCTCTCCTTGCCTCTACACAGGTCCTTCCCCTGGAGGCCCAGGAAGTTCCTTCACTGAAGATGTTCCATGTAGGCCAGCAAATAATTAGCTAATTAGGTATTTATAGCCAGTTCATTACTTCAGATGGCAGTGGAAGGGGAAAGAGGAGGGGAAGACAAGATTAGGATTCTCTGACAGCCCTTTGAGGCACAAGCTAATCCCCCTTGTGTGCCCAGCATCAAGTAATTAGCCACAAGATGCTGTGTGTTACGGTCTATCTCTATTCCCTGCATTGCCTACTCTGTGGAGAAGGGAGGGAAGTGCTGCCTGCAGGGACACACAGGCATGGGATGTCCACACAGTGAAGGGAGAGGGAAAAGGGTGGCTGGTGTAGGACATTGGAGTGGTTTAGCTCAGGAGGGAATGTTCTGGGGACAGATGGAGGTGGGGGAGAGACAGGAGTGGTATTTGCAGGCAGGTGATGTGTAGGAAGGAGAAGATGCTTAACGATGGCTACATGAGATCATGAAGAACTAGGAATGATGGCATTAGCTCTAAGGCCAGGCTGTGGAGCAGCAGCTAAGCCCTGTTGCCTGACTGCCCAGCTGCATCACTAGTCACCAGTGAAGGCAGTTTCTTGACATCACATCAGTCACTCAGCAGTGCAGGGCTGCAGCTCCAGCCCTTTGCTGGGGATTATGGATATGCCATGAGTCACTCTGAGTTTTCTGACCTATCACTGCACAAAGCCCAACAGCCCAGGCACAGTGCCCTGCTGCCTGCCACTGTGACCTGCCAGGCTCTGGTGCAACGTTTGGCTTTAAGGCCACACACCTTCACTGCAGTGCAGTGTGTTCCCAGCATTAACACTGCTTCACAGCACGAGCTCAGTAGTTCTCATAAACTGCCCTGGTCAGTACACGAGGGAGAGCCAAGTGGCACTGGAAGCTGTGCCAGCAGCCCTGCAAGGTTGAGGGGATATTTTTCAGATCAATGGATGCCAGCTCCATCTCAGAGCAGAAGTAGTGGGAAGAATGAGACTGCCCTTACACTGAAACGCAGAACAGGTAGAACAGTCATCCTCACCAGAATTTTGCAGACAATGTGCTTGTTGGGTCAGAATTTGCAAAAATGTATTTTGCCCAAGTTTCAAGGGAAGACAAGTGACTTGCAAAACTTGCCTGCTTTTTCATTGGAAATTTTGTGCCTACCCATACGTTCTCCATCCTCTCACAGGAGGTACTGATAGTACAGAACTGTGCTATCCATAGCTCCAGATTCATAGCCATTACCCTCATGACAGGCCCTCTCAAATACCTTGGCCTACAATCCAAGAAGCAGCAGGTGACCCCATGTAAAGCAGGTGGCCACCAGGCAGGTGGCCCCAGCACTTGGTGTCTTTTCCACATCACAAAGAATTTCAGCTCTGGTGGATTCAGTCCCTAATTAAACCAAATTTTTATTTTTTAAAAATCTTTGGGTTGAACAGAGTTATTCTTCTCTGCACATTGCTGTGGTCTTGTAGATATGTAGATTGGCTCTTCCAAAAGCAATAATGCTGAAGATACACCCACCCAAACATAAATTGCAATTCTCCCATGGGCCAACCACCTCTAAGGAAAACCCATCACTTCACTTTGCACAATGCCTCTTTTGCTTGCTGCCCTAAACCACAAAGCAATTGCTCTGGAAACTCGTTTTTCACCAGAGGCACCAGTTTTCCATCAAATGGACCTCCTCTGCTGAGTTCAGCCAGTTAGCGGAGGTATTTCAACTACTACTTCTATACAGATGAAAGACACAGTGTAAATAGCTCAGTACCTATGTCCTTTTCATTGTCTCCCCTGTTGCAAAATACATGCCATAGTCCCTGAGCCTCATCCTATACCATGGCATTTTGGCAGTGCCCCTTCTGCACCTCTGCCAGACCCTGTGGGCACTTTGGGGGGCAAGCCCTTGCAGCCTCCCCATCCCCTCCTGAGCCAGCAGCTCTGCGTGGGTCTGTCCACAGCTGGGCTTTGCAGTCCCCTGGGCCCAGGAAGGGACAGACTGGTCCAGCAGTCACACTAAGGCATCCGATGCAGGTCTCCAAGGAAGGACCTTACTGCAGGTGTCTGAACACTTTCACGGAAGAAGGGGATGAGTCCTACTCAGGCAGGACCCGGAGAGAAGTGTGTTTTGGGGTCTGTACAGCCTGACTGGGAGCAGGGTGCAAACAGTCCCTAGCTTCTCAAGCGTTCACGAGATGTCAGAGGAAAATGGAGAAAGGCTGAAAAGCCTAAGATAGAGGGTGATGATTTACTGCACACCCTGGTGGCTGAGATAACAAGGCAAAGCAGCTGCAGGGCAATGGAAATGAGCAGGCAGTATATTTGGAAGTGCTGCTTGGGGAGCATCCTGTCCTGTAGAATTGGGATGCCTCTCCTTTCCAAGGGGCCTTCGCCAGATAAGACCCCATCCACAGCAGTATGGGTGCATCTTGCATGACAACTTCTGGAAGGTGCTGGAAAGCTGGTTCTTCAGCAAAGCTCTGTTGCTGCCTCCTTCCTACGTTCCAGCACCTCTGCCTGCTCCTCTTCCTTCTCTGTCTCACTGTGCCTACATCTCTCTGCCTCTACACTGCTACACAGCATCTGTGCGCACATCTCCCTGCCTCCCTCCCCACCACTGCCTTTCCTCACATCCTCATTTATCCTTTACCATCAGCAGAGCAGAAGCCATGCTGGCTCACAGCAAGGAGGGAATATGAAAGGGACAATGACCTTTTCTGAAGCAACCTTTGAAAAAAGAAGATGTTCCCTGAGAAGAAAAAGGAAGAGGGGCTGGGCAGTCTGGAGAAAGGACAGGGAGGGAGAGCACTGACGAAGAAACATTCAGCAACCAAACAGGCTCCCAGGGCATCAAATATGAAAAGGTTCTGCTCTTCAAGGGGAAGAAAAGCTAGAAACATTAAATATTCATGAGTGCCAGGTGTGGACTCTGAAAGGCCTTTTCTCTTCCCCACTCACCCTCACGAGGAGACCAGGGGAAAAGAGGAAAAGAAATGGCATTGGCTGTGGGCATCCAAAGAAAGATCCTCTCAAAACCATGCTCAGATAATGCTTCTGTGCTGCTTACCCAAGTGCTTGGGCAAGTGGTGGGGAAGGGTGCTCAACGTGATCTCCCCAGCAGGGCTACTTCTGGTAGGATATCATGCATGAGTAAAGCCACGAGCCCAGCAGGGATGTGTTCACTGCTCCAACACAGCAGTGGAGGTTGCAGGGGTGAGAAAGTACATTGCAGGGATGAAAAGCAGCAGGAGGGTGACAGAAGTGCTGGGGAGTGAGCTGTCAGAGGGAAGCACGGGACTGAGCAAAGCCAGAAGACAACGCAGAGTCATGGAACTCCCTCCTGAGTTCGGGCAAAACAAATCCTCTGCCTCACCCCAGCAGGACCCAGAGGCTTTTCCTGACAAATTCTGAAGATGTTACAGTGACTGTAGCTCCCTCCAGACACTTGCCATCAACCTTGATTAGCCTGGCCATCACAGCTAAGCAGACTCGTTTGGCATGTGCTGGGTAAGCATGGACACAGTGGCCAGCAGCTGGAGCAGGGCTGGGAGGAGGCCAGCTCCAGGCCACTGGAGCCAGATGCACAGTGCAGGTGTGCCTGGCCACTTACCTCCACCTGTCCCTGCCTGGCATCACTCTATCACTTCACCTTCTTTCCCCTACCTCTTTCAAAGAGTGAGGACCAGGAGCTGAGCTGATTCACTCCCTAAAACTAATCACTCCATGACCTGAATAGCGGGCTAGCTCAGGAGAGGGTTAGAAACCCTGATCTTTCTGCTTTCTTACACCTCACCCTCCTCCTAGGCTTTCGAGTCCTCCCCAGCTCTACAGTGAGGGACAAAGCTAATGCATGCAGAGTCAAAAGAAGATAGCAGTTTGAGGTAATCATTCCCTTGCTTTGAGTAAAACAGATGGAAAATAACATAATTCTTCAGCACCAAGCTTAATCTGCATCATGGGCCAAGCCACCAATTGTTATTTTAACTGGAGCAAAAGCAAATCTCTTCCCCATCAGCACTTGTGACTCTAGCTGGCATGGCATTTTGCAGAGTGCAGAGACTGAAGCATCA